TCCCCTCCCTTCCCCTCCCCTCCCCTCCCCTCCTCTCCTCTCCTCTCTCTCCAAAGTTTCTTTGTAGCTTTGCACCTTTCCTGGAACTCACTTTGTAGCTCAGGCTGGCCTTGAACTCACAGAGATCCACCTACCTCTGCCTCCTGAGTGCTGAGATTAAAGGCATACACCACCACTGCCTGGCCTTCACACTGCTTTCTATAGTGGCTGTCAAGTTTGCACCCACACCATCAATGAAAATGTGTCCCCCTTTCCCCACATCCTCACCAGCATGTACTGTTATTTGTTTTATTAATGTAGGCCATTCAAACTCAGGGAGGTGAATCTCAAAGTGGTTTTAATTTAATTTAATTTTAATTTGCATTTCCCTGATGGCTAATGATATTGAACACTTTATTTAAAGTGTTTATCAGCCATTTGTGTTTCATTCTTTGAGAACTTTCTGCTTAGTTCTTTTAAAATTGGATTATTTATTTTCTTGATGTCCAGTTATCTTTAGATCTTTGTATATTCTAGATACTAACCCTCTTCATGTCTAGGTTTATTAGAAACTACCACTCTTCCATTTCTTCTGCTCTATAGATTTTTCATTCCCAGAACTTACATATGAATGATCCATTTTCTCCACCTTTGTATTTAGGATCTTTCTGTTATTATTTTATCCTTCCCAATGATCCACAGTTGCTTCTTTCTGTTAGAATAATTTCTTTTTTTTTTTTTGCCTTCACTTAAGGCTCTTTTAGTTTTCTTCTTGGGAAAATATCTCTATTTTCTTTATAATATTTAAGGATAGTTTTTTTAATAGAATTTGCAGTTTACAGTTTATTTTTCATCAACATCCTTACAGCTTTATATTTTGAGATAATTTAAAATCTGCATGTTAGTGGGAAGAAGTTATAGAGACTACATTTAAGCTGTGCAATGATAATCAATGATAATCTATTGCAGAAATATACTTCAATTTAATCAGATGGTATGTAACTTTTGGGGTGGAATTTTTTATGAAACATAATTTGCTTGCAAATAATACAGATTTTTGCATATTTCAGTAGTTTCTTCAGTGTCACATACTATTCCATGGCATGGATGTACAACTTTGTCTCTTCACGCACTGAACAATGTTGAAGATTTTTCCAGTTTTTTTTACCGTTAGAAGTAAAGTGCTATGAGTGTTTACATATACATTTTATAAGTCTACATGAAATTCTGAGTCATGCCAGGCGGTGGTGGCGCACGCCTTTAATCTCAGCACTCAGAAGGCAGAGCCAGGTGGATCTCTGTGAGTTCGAGGCCAGCCTGGGCTACCAAGTGAGTCCCAGGAAAGGCGCAAAGCTACACAGAGAAACCCTGTCTCGAAAAACCAAAAACATAAAAATAAAAATAAAAAAATAAATTCTGAATCATAAGTTGTCACGTGCTTCATTTAAGAAATCACTGAAAAGTTTTCCCAAAGAGCTATACCATTTTATCTCCTCACTAGTACTTGTGAGTGACACAGTTTCTCTACATGTGTATTTTTTCTGTTTTCATTGTTCCTTTTTTGTGATTCTCTAAGTTTCATTTTTTTCATCATGTGCTTTCTAGATGATTTTCTTTTAGCCTTTTAAAAAGGATAAGTCTTAGCCGGGCGGTGGTGGCGCATGCCTTTAATCCCAGCACTCGGGAGGCAGAGCCAGGCGGATCGCTGTGAGTTCAAGGCCAGCCTGGGCTACCAAGTGAGCTCCAGGAAAGGTGCAAAACTACACAGAGAAACCCTGTCTCGAAAAACCAAAAAAAAAAAAAAAAGGATAAGTGTTTTAAGGATGAGTAATTTTAGTCTTAGTCAATGTGAGAATGTGTTTATTTCCTGTACATTACTTAAGGATAATTTTGCTATGCATGAATTCATAATTGGGAGTCTTGAAAATGTTTTTCTTATAGATATTCCAGTAATACCAGAAGCAGCCTTGGAAGAGAACCCCGAGACAGTGAGTTACCCACCCGCAATGGGAAATAGCAGTGTCCAGCAAAATGCATCTTCATCTTCTAGGCCCCCATCTGATTCCGGTGAGCTGCAGAAGATACACTTTATAGAAAGCATTCTTCAATCCAGTCCATAAATTTCTCAACATCCTTAATGCAAACCACTTGTTCATTTTTAAAATTAAACTTTTCATTTTAAAATAATTATAGATTCTTATTATTTGTAAGAAATAAGATTAACTTAATCCCCTTTATACTTTATTATTTTCTCAAACAATAGATAAGAAAACTAAGATTAAATAATACTACCAGGATATTCACATTGATCTAGTACCCAGATATAATAGAGAAGTCCACAGTTTTCTTGTAGTTGTTCGTATGCTTATATTGATTTCTGTACAGATTTATTATATGAGTAAGTTTTATTGCCATCACTGTAGTCAAGATACAGAATAATTCACCATTGACTGCCTCTTTTGTTTTTTGTTACCCTACCTACCTCACTGAAGTCATGCTTTTCTTCCCAACTGCCTGTTCCCTACCATCTGGTTAATACTGGTTTCTAGAATTTTGTCACTTTAATAGTATTATATAAAGAAAGTCTTATGGTATGTAGATTTTGTTCCCATCAGCACAGTTCCCTGTCGACTTATACCATTTATGGGTATCTGTAGATAGTTCATATTCTCTCTCATGCCCCCCCCCACTGAGTTGTTTTTAACCATTTACCCATTGAAAGATATACTTTTTCCATCCAATTTTTGGAATTAGGAGTAAACCTCCATGAACATTTGTGCACTGGTTTTGTGTAAATGTAAGTTTTATTTCTTTTTTGTAAATTCCAAGAGTGCAAATTTCTGGGTCTCATGGTAATATATTATGATAATGATATTACCATCAGAAACCACCAATCAGTTTTCCAGAGCTGTAGTGCTATTTTATATCGCCAAATTTAAGGATGAAACAGTTTCTCCACATTTACGTTCCTAACCTTTCCATTGTTCTCCTCCTCAGTTCTTTCTGATTCTCTAACTTGCGTTCTTACAGCATATCCTTTAGCTTTGCAGGTCTTTTGTTAGCTCTTTATATGGGTGAGTATGCTAGGGGAAGATTTATTCAGTTTTCCTTTGTCATGAGAAAACTTTATTTCACCCCCCTCCAGAAAGATAGTTTTTCATTATATAGAATTCATGGTTGGGAATCCTTTATTTTCAGAGATTGAAGAAGTTGTACTGGTAGAAATGCCAAAAAAAACTGAAGTCATAGTGGATAACAATAAAGAGACAGTATATTATCCTGCTTTATTAGGAAATATTGTTCCTCCAGATCCTGAGACTATAGCTGCCTCCATATCTTCTGAGTCAGGTGAGTTTGGAATTATACATACACAATACAGGAAGTACTTTTATTTTTGCACACATATGTATGTAGTATGCATGCACACTATGTTTGCATTTGTGGATATATGTGGACATGTGTGTGTGTGTGTGTGTGTGTGTGCGCGCACACGTGTGCACGTGTACAGGTGCATGTCTGTTTATATATGTGTCTGTGGAGATTAGAAGTTGTTGGGTGTCTTCTGTGATTGTACTGCATTGTATTTACTGAGGCAGATATTTTCCTCTAGCTAGTCAGCTTGTCCTGGTGACCCCCCTGTCTGTGGCCTATAAATGCTGATCTGAGTTCTGGGACCACAGGTAGGCTTCTATACCTACATGGCTTTTTTTGTAGGTTCTGCGGAACCAGAACTCCAGTCTTCATGCTTTTGTGACACGCTTTTTATCCACTGAGCCATTTTTCTTGCCTCAGATAACACTTTGTGGTTTTTCTAGACATGGTTTCTCTGTGTAGCTTTGTACCTTTCCTGGAACTCACTCGGTAGACCAGGCTGGCCTCAAACTCACAGAGATCTGCCTGGCTCTGCCCCCTGAGTGCGGGTATTAAAGGCAGGCTCCCCCACCACCCGACAACACTTTTTAAATCAAGATGCATTAACATTCTTTTAAGTTTAATTTTAATTTTATGTGTTTGGTATTTTTCCTGCATGCATGTCTGTGCACCACTTTAATGCCTGGTGCTTACAAAGGCCAGAGAGGGTCAAATCCCCTGGAACTGGGTTTCCAGAAGGTTGGGAACCGCCAATTAGCATTCTTTTTTAACAAAAATTATTTATCTATTTATTTGTTTGTTTATATGTGTATGAGTGTTTTGCCTATATCTGTGTACTATGTGCATGTCTGGTGCCCAAGGAGCTCAGAAGAGTACATTGGATCCTCTGGACCTGGAATTATGGATAGTTATGTGCTAACATGTGGGCTCTGGGAATCAAACCTGGGACCTCTAAAGAGGAGTAAGTGGTTTTGATTTCTGAGCCATCATTCCAGCCCTCTGCATTAATGTTTTTAATATTTTTAAAAGATTTATTTATTTTTTTTGTTTTTTGTGCATGGATGTTTTGCCTGTATGTATGTCTGTACACTGTCTATAAGCAGTGCTCATGGTGGCCAGCAGAAGGTGGTGAATCCTTTGGAAGTACAGTTACAGATGACTGTGAACCATTATATGTGTGCTGAAACTGAACCTGGGACCTATATGAGAATAACAAAAGCTCTTAACTGCTGAGTTATTTATCTGGCCCCAACATTCTTAATACTAATTGTCAGTGACAGCTTTGGTTTCCTTTGTTTTATACAAGATTGCATATAGCCCAGGCTGACCTGGACTTGCTATGTAGCCCAGGATAGTCTTATAGCCTTCTTGACTGCCTTCTGAGTGCTGAGATGATAGGCATGTGCTACCATACCTGTGGCAAGTAAAATCTTTTTAAAAACAGTCTTTTCCTACCATGCTTTGTACCTATTATAGTTTTTAAATTACATTTTATTGTTATTATTATGTGTATTGTATGTAAAGGGAGGAAGAGTTTGTGGAGCTACATGCACATCATGGTGAATAAATACATGGAGGTGAGATGACGACTTGTGGGAGTAACAGGTTTTTTTTCCAAATTAAACTTTTCATGGTAGTGCATTGCAGAATCACATGTAGTTTTGAGATACAATATAGGGAGTTCTTGTATAATGTTCACTTTTTCCCCCATAGTAACATTTTTACAAAAATAGAGTGAGTTATCACAACCAGGATTGTATATCCTGGTTGGTATAATCCACAAATTTTATTGTGATGCCCCAGTTTTGTTTGCATTTATTTGTGTGTGCAAATATGTGTCAAGCACTGTGCAAGTTCATCCCATGAATAGGAATGTATGTTCACCACAATGGACTTCACTTGCTTTTTTTTCTTAAAGATTTATTTTACCAGTTGTTTTAGTTAGGGTTTCTATTGCTGTGGAGAGACACCATGACCATGGCAACTCTTAAAAAGGAAAAAAATTTAATTATGGGTGGCTTACAGTTTCAGAGGTTTAGTCCATTATCATCATGGTAGGAAGCATGACAACATGCGGGAAGACATGTTGCTGGTGAAGGAGCTGAGAGTTCTACATCTTGATCTGCAGGCAACAGGAAACCACTCTGTCTCACAATAGGCATAGCTTGAGTGTATAACACCTCAAACCCATCCCCCAGTGACACACTTCCTCCAACAAGGCTACACTTACTCCGACAAAGCCACACCTCCTAATAGTGCCACTCACTTTGGGGGACATTTTCTTTCAGACCACTCAGGTTTTAAAGCTGTTGTGAACGTTTATGTATAGTTTTAATATAATGCAAACTTTTGTTTTCTCTGTTACGAATGCCATGAGTGCAATTTATGTGTTTTATGAAAACAGCATTTTTACTTTTAAGAAACTGCCAGTTTTCCAGAAAGGCTGTACCATTTTACATTCCCGATAGCAAAACATGGATGATGCAGTCTCTCCACATCTATATTTCTGATTGTTCCATTGTTATTTCTTCTTTTCTTGGAGGAACTAAGATTCCTGCTTTAGTAATATCCTTTCTAATTGAAGAATTTTTGTTTGCCATTTTTAAGGGAAAATCATTTGGGGACAAATTCTTTGAACTTTGTTCTCTGTGAGGCTGTTTTCCTTTCTCCTTGTCAGTGAAGAGTAATTTCTCATAGTACAGGATTCATGATTGAGAATTTTTTTATTTCAGTAATTGAAAAACTTGTACTAATAGAAGTGCCAGTTCATCCAGAAAACATTGTGGAAAACAACCCTGAGACACTGAATAACCCAATTATATCAGAAAATGGTGGAAACCAAGAACCTGCTGCTGCATCATTTCCTTCAGAAATTGGTGAGTTTTAAATAGCATAGTATTAGTAGTGCTATTTCATCTCCATCCAGTCACATCCTCAGTGCACAGCTAGTGGTAGCTCCTTTTTAAACTAAACTTCCAACTATGTGGTAACTTAAGATACACATAACAGCTGTAAGAAGTAATACAGAAATGCCCTTTATGTTCTACCCATGTTTTCCCAACATAATTCACTGAACATCTTTTTGCATGTGAATGTGTCAGTAGTCTTTTAAATGTTGAATTCTATGCTATAGGTGTATTTCATCATGTTTATCCTTTCTTTAAGGGCAACTAGATTGTTTTCAGTTTTTAATTACAAGTAAGTTGCTACAACCATTCATGTGTAGGTGTTTTAAATTTTTCAGACAATATATTTTGATGATATTATTTGCTAATGTGTAGATTTTTGTGTAAGCATAAATTTTAACTTGGTTAAATATTCAAGAGTGCAAATGCTTGGTTATATGGAAATTTCATGTTTGATTTTATACAACCCTGCTGAACAGTTTTCCATCAAGGCTGTACCTTTTTATATTCCCACCAGCTATAAGTGATACAGTTTCTAGTTTCTCTGATCTCTCTATATTTTTGGGGGGTAGGATTTATTTTTTTTGAGATTGGGTCTCTGTCTGTGGCTCAGGGTTTCTGGGAACTCACTATGTAGCTCAAGCTAGCCTTGAATTTAGGGCATTCCTTCGCTCTCAGCCTCCAAAGTGCTGGGATTACAGGCATGAATCACAATGCCTAACTTATTTAGCCTTTTTTTTTTTTTTTGGTTTTTCGAGACAGGGTTTTTTAGCCTTTTTTTTTAATGCTTCAAGTTTTAATATTTCATCACTCTTACTTATTTGAAGATTTTCCTCTAGACATTTATTTTCACAGTGGAGTCTCAATATGTTTGTCCAGACCTGTCAAACTGCATACATGACCCACTGACATCTTTCTCTCAGGTAGTAAAGACTATTATATACTTGGGCCACAATGACCAACTAGCCATTCTTTTTTTTTTTTTTTTTTCTGATTTTTCGAGACATGGATTCTCTGTGTAGCCCCGACTGTCACAGAACTCACTCTGTGGACCAGGCTGGCTTCAAACAGAAATCTGCTTGCCTTTGCCTCCTGAGTACTGGGATTAAAGGCGTGTGCTACCACTGCATAACCAATTAGCCATTCTTTAAGTTTACGTCAGCCAATGACAAATGGGTCAAAGTTTTCCCTCATGTGAGAACATCTTTGTTTTCCCTTCATTCTTTATCCTTTTTGAGCATGAGGATAGGCAAGAGTTCTACTACTGACTTATGTCTCCAGCCCTTCCTCTTTACCCTTACAGAATAGTCTTTTCTGATAGAAAATTTGTGTGTTGGGTTCTTTTCCTTCAGTATTTCAAAAGTGCCAAAAATTATAACCAAAATATTAACATGATACCTACAGACACTATTGAAATGTCTTCAGTTTTATGTGTATTCATTTTTTCTCTTGTTATCTTATTAATTTTTAGTTAGCATATAAAGTAATAGGTTTCCTTATGACATTTTCAGACATGTATCAATATATCTTACTCACCCTTCTACTGCCCTCCCCATGCCCTCCTCCTCTGTTACTTGTATTCATTTGTGAACATGCTTATATGTGTATTTTATTTCATTTTTACCATTTTTGGGGGATCATGTATCCTTTATCCTGGACATGTCTCCCAAAAAGTTTTAGTATCACCATCATCTCTCATATAGTCCTTTTATAGCCACATTGTTGCCCATTAACCAACATTATCCCCCATCCCTGTCGCTACCTGCTGGCCACTACTAATTTTTTCTCTAAATCTGTAAATGACCACTTTTGTATTCTGTGTGTTGAATCATGCAAGTGTGTCTTTTTGATATTGTGAAATGATTATGCCATCTACAAAGTTCACATTCAATAAGTACACAATCAAGTTGCAAGAATTACTCCACAATAGGTCTCAGAATATTTTAAGTAATTTATGGTTTGGTGTTGGATCACATGTATAGCTATCCTTGGTTGCATGTATTCACATGTGGAATGTAGGATACAAGTTGGACAGACCTGATAGTGACTCTAAAATTGTTTATATTTTTGTTAGCTCATTTTACATCTTTATACAAGTTCTCATTTCTCCGGGATAAATATCAAAGGGTGATTACTAGGCTCTTTGGTAATTGCATGTTTCATTTTGTATGAAACAAAGAAACTTTTCCAGGGTAGCTGTGACATTTTCCATTTCCATCAGCAGTGTAGGAATCACTGCACTTTCTCTGCTGCCATGTTACCACCTTTCCATGGTTTGTTCTATCTTCTTCCTAGTATATTCCTTCTGACATAACTTTTCTGATCAAAGGATGTTCTATTTTTAAGGGTAAATTATATCATAACAAGTACTTTTGGTTGTTTTTGGTATTGTTTTGTTTGTCTGTGAATGTTTTTGTTTTCACTTCTTTTCTGAAGGCTAGTTTTGCTGGATATAAAATATGTGCATAGAAGTATTTTCTTACATTTGAAAAATATTTTCCTTACAGTAATATTGGGCACTGAAGAAAGCACCTCTGAGATAATGAATAACTTATATGTATTTGAAAATTATGGTAACCAAATTGTGCCACGCCCTGTCTCTGTTAATCCCAGTCTTGGTAAGTTACAAATGATGCTTAGTACAGACAGATTCTTTAATCTAGATGTGTTAAATCAACTCACGTAGGCTAGTGGTAGCTTTTCCTAATTAAAACTAATGAAAAAATTAAATGTTATTTGAGAATATTTTAGCTTCTCCAGTGAGAGACAACATTTTACAAAACTAGAGTCCAATGCCGAAATCAATATATTGGTGTTGATACAGTCCATAGATTTTATTGGAATATCTTCAGTATTACTTGAATTTGTGTGTTTGTATGTGTAGATATTTGGTTTTATGTAATTTCAGGACATGGGTAAGCTTCCAAATTTTTGCACTCAAGGTACGGAATATAAAGATTCCACCGGTTTCTCTTTAAAACCTGTTCCCTTCTTCTGTTCTGCCCAGTTTCAACCACTAATCTGTTCTTCTTTTTGCTTTTGTTGTTGTTTTTATTGTTTTTACCATTTTAGCAAAGGTATACTCAAATACCATGTACTCAAACATCTTTTGAAATTGCGTTTTTATTTCACGAGGTATAATTCTCTGGAGAATTCATCCAAGTCATTCCATGCTTTAGTAATTATCAGCTGTTCCTTTTTTTAAACCACTGAGTACTATTCCATATTATGGTTCAGGCTCAATTGTCCTACTTTTTCTCTCTCTGCCCTGCCCCTCCCACCCATTCCCTCTCTCTCTTTTCCTATTTAATAATATCTCAGTCATTTCCTATTTGGGGGATATTATATTAGAAGTAGTAGGGCTGGGGAGATGGTTCAGTGAGTAAATTGTTTGCTACACAAAGCACAAGGACTGGAGACAAATCTCCACCATCCCTATAAATGGCAGATGGACATGGTAGCCTGCCTATATTTCCAGCACTTGAGAGATGGAGATGGTGGAACCCAAATCACTGAGCTGTGGGTACAAGTGAGAGATTTTTACCTCTGTCACTAAGGTGGAGAGCAACAAGCATGACACTCAGTGTCAACCTCAAGTCTTCATATGCATGTGTAGACACATGCACCCACCACCATACCCACACACATACACACATGCACGCAGACTACAAAAAAAGAAGTAACGTTGCTGCAAATGCTCATATTGTCTTTTATGTGAACATAAGTTGTCTTTTGTTTGAAATACTGCACAAGAATCCAATAGCTGGTTCCTATGACAATTGTATAGTTCAATTTACAAAATCCTAACAAGCTATCTTTCTGTGTTGCCTCAGTAGTAACTGCTATGTGGTCTGACAACACAGATAAATTAGTCAGATTTTTATTTAGTTCCAGTTAAAAGGCAGAGAAAGCAGGATGTCTCTACCAGTTTCTTTTCCCTTCAGCAACACATGATTATGATCTATTTTGTCCACATGCACATTTCTGCTCTGTCCATTGTTCTCTCTTCCTTCCTCATGCTGCAAGACCCATTCCTTTGTTCTATCCTTTCAGTTTGAAGAACTGAGTCTAGCCATTCTTTAAGGGTGAGTCATCCAGTGCAAGTTTTTAAAGTTTTCTTTTTCTGAGAATGTTCATATTTCTCCTTCATCCCTAGAGGATGGTGCAATTGATACAAATAATGGATGAGATTTCTTGTTTTCCAGAAGTTGACAGTGTTTTTCCTATTGAAATGTTCCAAACAAGAGCCATACCAGAAATAATACCTCAGATAGTGAATTGCCCAATTTCCATGGAGCACATTAATGACCATGGTAATGATTTAGTATTTTCCTCCATTGTTTTGATTTAGTGGGTCGGTTTTAAGTGATATTGATAATAATGAAATGCATGGAACGCATTTCTTAAAAGGGACTGTAATGATCAACTGGTATGCCTCTTCTTACTTACAATGACCCCACAATGTTGGTACTTTTATTGCTATCTTTCCCAAGATTCCACAGGAAATGACTGATGCTGGTGAAACTCTATCCCTATTTTCTCTGACTTTAAAGTTTATGTTCCTTACTCTAATGCCTTACAAGTTACAGTAGCAGAGTTGAGAAGATTCCAGGCTATGTGGCCTCTAAGAGCAGGTTTTCCAAATATTATGTAGTCTCTTTGTATCTTTTTCTTTTTCTTTCTTTCTTTCTTTCTTTCTTTCTTTCTTTCTTTCTTTCTTTCTTTCTTTCTTTCTTTCTTTCTTTCTTTCTTTCTTTCTTTCCCTC